GGGAGTGCCCCGCGGAGGCCCTGCCGCGCGCTCGGACTCCTGCTGCTGGTGGTCCTGGGTTTCCTGGTGCTCCGCAGGTGAGGGAATCCGCCCGGCGCCGCCGGTCTGCAGGCACCCCAACCCTCCACACCTCGCGTTCTCTCTCTCCCGTCTAACCTCCCGTCTGGCCGGAGCGAGGCAGACCCTGCAGGTCACGTTACCTCGACCCGCGAATCCCGAGTTCCCACAGGGAACAGCCCGCGGGTCTGTTCCTTTTTGTAGCTCCCCAATATCCCTGCGCCCCGGTGCGCCGCCAGGAGCTCTGGTTCTGCTTCGAGACCCAGACCTCTGGGGGCCACGAGGCGCTGCCCTCCCTGTCCCCAGGCGCCTGCGCCCTAGAGCCTCCCCACTCCTCTGCGTCCGTGTTGCGGGCTCTACTTTTCTCGTGGGAACTCCCAGCCCTCTGGAAGGTTGGCAGGACCAGCCTTCAGATCCCTCTCCTATGTCCCTCATCACTGCCCCGCCTCAGGGGAACCCCCTTCTGCTGTTTTCCCAGCTCCCCACATTCCCCACCAGTTCTGCTGGGAGGCTTGTCTGTGCAGCAAAGGCCAGAGCGCCAGTGGCCACAGCCATGGCCGACTTAGCCTGCTCAGCACAGTCCGAGAACACTGCCCCAGGGTCCCTCCCAGCTCCTCCGCCCTGGATTGATTTGCCCCTTTCCCGGATTGGTACTAGTTTGTCTTCTTTCTCCACGGTCCCACCACTCACCAGCCGCCAGCTCCCCTTACACAATGTCTGTGGCCAGTGATGGCGTTCAGTGATGGAATGCTTTATCCACGGCCTGTGTGGGTGCCCCTGCCCGGCGTTTTTCCGATCTGAGTCTATATATAGGATGCTGCAGCCCTGACCACATCTTTCAGGTCGATGCCTGGCACTTTCCATATTCAAAACTTCAGGTGTGACTGGGAGAGCAGGCCGCCCGCCCTGAACAAATGCCTGGGCACTGAACTGAGTGTTGGAGAGGCCGGAGGCTGAGCCATTGGAACTGGGGCAGCTTGATCTTTCCTTCTTCCCCATCACCCTTCCTGGTTTCGCTGAACCTCGCTGGGAGGTAGAGGGAAGTTTTGGATGGAGTTAAATACCGGAACGTTTTTTGGCCACCACAGCATCCCAATCAGAAACGCTTTCCACTTGCACCTTTTCAAGACGGAACCTGTCTTCTTTGCTTGGGAGATGGTGAGGATGACCTTTATGGTGTGGGAGAAGAAAATGGTGCTCTCCTCATTCTGGGGCCCAGAAAACTTAAGAAGCATTTCCACAGTTTTTCAAGACTTAACCCCCCCCTCCCTACCCCCTCGGCCAATCTTGTGATGATATCTAACCCTTTCCTCTTTGGAGATGATTGGTCCTGGCTCTGGTAGGATGCTCAGCCGTCCTCCCAGTACAAGCCCAATGCAGACCCCCAGAAGAATTAACTCAAAGCAGAGGCAGCAGGAGCCTCTGGCATACGGTACAGCAGGGCATCGAGGAGCCCAGACCCCAGAGAGAAAGGCCAGGGGTGTTCGTTCAGGTAGCAAGTAGTTTGCTCGTTGTTGGAGGTCAAGGATATATAGCAAGCCATGCAGGGGATCCAGACAGGTCATTCTGACGGCCAGCACACAGGGGCTTGAGATGGGCCAGGCAAGGACACCCTAAGAGTCCACGGGAAAAGGTGTGGGAAGGAGGCTGGGTGTTTGTTGGTGTCTGGAGGGACAGGAGATGAGCTGTCAGACAGATGAATTAACTGTGTTCCTACCTGGGTGTGGTGACCGCAGGAGGAGTTAGTGGAAGGCTTCTGGGGTTGCCAGGGTGGAGCAGTGGAGAATGAATAGCTGTGGAAATAGTTTGAAGTGTTTTTCCTGCCATCTCTTCTTTCTTTTTATTTATTATTTGCATTTATTTAAAAATATTGTTTTTATTGATTTCAGAGATGAAGGGAGGGGGGGGGGAGAGAGAGAGAGAAACATCAATGATGAGAGAGAATCATTGATCAGCTGCCTCCTGCACGTCCCCGACTGGGGATCGAGCCTGCAACCCAGGCACGTGCCCTTGACTGGAATCAAACCCGGCACCTTCACTCCGCAGGCTGATGCTCTGTCACCTGAGCCAGATCAGCTAGGGCCATCTCTTCTTTCTCAGCAGACAAGATGGAGGCCAGAGAGGCTCCAGGGCCAGCTCTCAGGGTCCTTTAGAATATGTGTCTTTCGGGCGTCTTTTTGGTTGTATCACCCTCGTGGCCACCAAGGACGGCCTCTGGAGGCCAGAGGAGAACATACTCATTGTCGCATCCTCTTCCTGCTTTAACTCTGGCTTTGACTGGGCCATAAACTGAGTGTGTGTGTGTGTGA